TCACTTCCTCCTCCAAACTCGGCCACAGAAATTCAAACGCCTGTTTCCAATAAAGCTGTACTTCGCCGTCCAGGAACGAGACCTTCGGCCATGCAAGGGACGTGACGAACACCTGGAAGGCCTGAGAGAAATCTACAGAGCCTCGAAAGGCTACGATGATGGCCTTTTCTGCGTGCGAAATGGCAACATACCCCAAGCATTTATTGCCGACCACAAGGCCGCAATCCTTGGTCACGATGCTCTGGATGGTCACGTCAGACTCTGGAAGTATCATTTGCAAACACACTTGGGGATCTTCGTCGTCATAAGCGGCCGCCGATAGAAGCAACATCTTCCTGGCCACGTTGATGTCATAGCGAGACAGTTCGTCGTCACAGTTTGATGAATCGAGAACATTCTCGGCCTTCTTACAATCGTTGAATACGGAACCGTAGGCATGACACTCCTGGTCCCTGGGGCACCATCTGCACGCTCGTCCGTTCCAACTAGTTCCTCCGACGCAGCTTTTGCAGTCCTTGAAAGCGTTGCATGAGGCGTCGCATATAGTCAAACACACCATCAAACTCATTAAGGCGATGAGTACACCCCGAATTGAACTCCACATATTATGAGTCTTGAAAACGCAACTCGGAAGAATTTGAGGCACCGTATGAAAAGAAAGCACTCCCGCCCACGACAGCTGATAAACTCACGGGAAAAGCATCAAATGAAATGCCAGAAATTATTTCTCCGAATATCCGCCTCCAAAGGAAAGAGTCCTTAGCCGACCACTTCCCCCATCGACCCCGGATGTCTTTGTCGCGAGAGCGTCGAGATAAGACGAACGGAAGCTATTATGCATGTAGGCGTCCTTGGGGACCCGAAGGCGACGGAAGAATAAATAACTCGGACGAGGACTCCTATCGCGAATGCCTCTCCGCGCCCGGAATTACCTCGGATGAGTTCAATATTTCGCACTATTTTCGATGATTTGACTAATGCGCTTAATGATGAGTACTGACGATTAGGGATGTGCGGAATGAAGAAGGGAAAATTCTTGAAAGGCCCTCCCTCTGAACCAAGCTCGACTTTCAACTCTATATCTCCTCTGAGTAGCCACAACTCCTTTTTCTTTGACGGTGTTGCTTTTAAAGTGACGTAACAAATACACGGGGTTCCATAGCAGAATGGGTGGGGATTCCGAAGGGGTTAGGTATTTAGTCTGCGTTGGAGTGGTCATTCTGCGTCGACGGTTCACCTATATTCTTTCGAAGAGGTATTCCTTATGAACGGGCTTTCTTCGTTCATTACTATAGCATGTTTTTATTGGCTTTGCTTTCAGCGCTGTACCGATGGTCACACTGGGCCGAATTTTCCATCAGAACCGTCGGCCGGTGCCGAATGTTGGCTGCAGATGAAATCGCCTAGGAATTCAAATAGGGCTAGTTGGAAGCCATGTGTCTGTCAGGGATTAACTAGTTTCCTATTGTTACTGTTAAGAACGTTTAATGACACGTCTCTCGCCGAAAAAGAATTATCATTAAAGCAAGTGGAATTAATTCCCGTTTTTTACCGCTACTTTCCTCCGCCGATTCCTATGCTCGGGCTGGACCACGTCACAAAACGCTTTGAGAAGAAAATTGAATGGTTTTTTATTCATGGCTCGCAAAATGCAAAGGGAAGAACGCTTGGATATCAGGAAGCATCTCAGCCTTGTTTTTTTTTATATAAATATTTTGTTTCTGTGAAATAGAGACATTGTGCGGAGCAAATTGTGTCTCAAAGTGGAAAAAAGACATGGCAAAGGGTAAAATGATCGCGTCACAGTCCAGGAGTTCCATATTCAATCCCGTCATGGCTGGGATGGAAGGTGGGAAAAAAATCACTTGGGTGATGATCAAGAAATGGGCGCCAATTCCGGAGGCGACTCTCTTTTTGGAGGCAAGGTGTTGCGGTGGCGACTCCAGTTCGGGAGCGATAGAGGAAATTCATTCACGATGGAATCTCGTCGTTCGTGCGGTGTGGGGAGTCTGTGTATGCGATCGATTGTCTTCAGTGCTTTTTTTTATGCTTTCGATTGGTTTTTCTTCAGGTGGTCAGGGCGAAGTGCCGCTTGGTAGCAGCTTGTTCCACGATGGGGCTAATGGATGGCATTCGTGGAGGCTTGAAAGGATTTCGTGTTACGAGGTATGGACATCCGCTTGGAAGTGAAAATGTGGCTTTTCCATGTCAGAGAGGTAGGCAGGACTATGCTGTCTTGGTCTCGTGGCGCACCAAATGCAATTTGTTCTGGATGATTACCTCTACACAGCATGGTGTACCAGATGAATAGCGTGTGTACCACAAGGTGTTCTGCTTTGCATTGAAATGCATTATAAACGGTAAAACCAAAATGAAAGGTAAATTTTATTGTTATTTTTCTCATCAACGAAAAAATACGATAGTCAAAAATGCTTTTGGGACATTAAAAAAAGCATTTAAAAAGTCGTGCATTGTATGTCACCCATACGCGTGAGACGACGAAGTGGTACACTTCGTCTCGTGGCTTTCTGTTTAGCCTATGGTTTGGATAGCAAAGACTAATAGGCCTGTCGCATCAGGCTACGGTAGCAGAATTCTAGGTCAGATATCTCGACAAGTCAAGTTATAAAGAGGGAGTCTGCTGAAGAGGTTCATGAAAAGTTCTGGGCACTGGTCGGGACTGTGTTTCATGGAATTGTTAATGGACCACTCCTGCAGTTCATCGAGGGCAGTATGTTGGAGTGGAGGGGCGGAGGACATACGGTGGGACACCGCAATCGTCGGTGTTTTTCGCTTTCGCCCTCAAGATTTAATAGTTGCTGAATTTTCCCCTTCATCAAGTAAATCATCTCGATAAACGAGAACGAGAATGCACTGAGGTGACTTCCCCAAACGTAAACGAAGCCAAATAAGATTACGGCGATAGATCTGGAAAGCCAGCGCGGCGCACACAAGTACCAGTCTCAAGGTTTTCCGGATCTTCGTAGTCTTACCAGCCGTCTAGTGTACACACCGCTTCGAACATAGGCGCATACTCCGCCACAGTTTCCTTTTTTCGAATCTGATGGAAAGTGTCGTACCCAACCCCCGGCATAGAGGAGGTCATGGATATGCGCGCAGTGACTCACAAGAATGTACAATAAAGGGGCCCTCTGATACACTTTCTGCTCACTCTGTCGCCAGTTGTCGAGACAGGAAGACGTTTGTTCCTCTCTCCCTCTTCGCTGTTCTCGCGCACTCAGCCTGCCTTTGCGCCCGCGCCCCCTTCCTTGTCCCATTCTTTTTTATGTAGCTAACGCGTCGAAAGTTTTCGATGTGTAGCCTTCTCATACTCATCAATTGGTATTCCCACGTAGTCGTTCTTAGCTTCTATAAATTTCCCCTCATTGGTTACTTTCTCCACTCGTTAGGTAGGAAAAATTGCCTGTACCAGGGCAATTAAATTAATTCATGGGTAAAGAAAGTAGAAAAACCTGCCATGGGAGCCAGGAGAGCTACCACTCCCCTCTGACGTCACAAGGACGCGCTTCCATAAATTCGTCTCCTGGGCACGTTACTGAAGCGCCTATTTGCTCGCGCGTGGCCGTACCCATACGGAGTATATAATGGAAATGCCTCCCTACCGAGCGGGGCAGCAAGTCTCTAGGCACCCCCGTCCCCTGGTGTCGCACGAGGGAGTCGATAGCAGGGCAAGAGGCAATGCCCCGACTCCCTCACGCCGGTAAAGCGTAATGCAGTGCCATATCTGTCCTGTCTAAAAATTTACTCCTGATCGATCAGAAGTGGGCATAGGGCGGGGTTCTATTGGAGGGAGGAAAGTGTGGCTCCTGCCAAATTTGTCCCCCGTCGCAAATTTTCCCTGTTCTCTCATTCAACTTTTAAGACACCATCGTGTCCTGAGAATGGCATGCGCCAAATTTGACTTAATTTGTATCTCATTGCCATCTCTTTTTCCCCCAGTGATTCTGCGAAAGATTTTTAGGCCTAGACCCAGCAGACAGTTCCCAGACTTGCTGAGACTTCCGTCATAACTTAAGTCATCATATTTCCCTAATTCCCGTTTGATTCAAAAGTTAAGGTTATTTTTAGATTTTGATCCACTATGCACTTAATACCATACATTGAAGCAACCCTTTTCTTCCCTTCAGTAAAAAAAAAAGGCCATCAGGGACCATTTTCTCTGAAAAATGGACTTCACTCGCGTCAAAAGAGGAAGAAAACTGGAGGAAAAGGAAATAGCAGTGCAAATACATACAATTCAACCTGATTGAAAAACACCATCTTCATTTGTATATGTTGTATATCACTTTACACTCGGATCAATTTCATGGCACGCGTCATGATACCATTCTTTCCATCTGCTGCAAAGGACCATTTGTGGCCCATCGTCCCAATGTGGTTGCCTGCAAAACACTAAACTGGCACTGGTTTGACTTTGCACGACTTACATCAGACACGATGAGTCACAGGTAGGTCACTCCAGGTCAAAGGGATTGCAATTAGTGCCTTCCTGACGGCATGTCGTAGACCTTCCTGCTGCCAGACAACCATTGAAGGATCAATATTCGAGCAAATTGCTGCAACATTTGCAATAGCAAATGCCCCTCGGTCTTTTCCCCCTTCTCTGCTGGTGGATTTTGAGGAATTCCACTAGAACCGCTTACTCTGGAGTATGCAGCATTGCTGCAATTTGGCACCGTAATGAAACTGGCGAGGCTGAACTTGCAGAATCATACTCTTGAACAGGGCTGACATTGGACGAAGATGCATTGCACAAAGCCAGTGATTTCCATTTACGTTGCAAATTTGCACATACCTATTATGGTTCTGCAAACGGCCCCACAGCTTTCTGAATTGAACACTTAACAACTTTGGAATCCTTCTATGGAAGGGGATTTTTCATGGAGAACAAGTGCTGCATCAATTACTCCATCATTAGGCAATCCCTCAGGATCCTCAAGGATATCCATGTCTACTTGGGTAATTGATAGGTCCTGCCTTTAAACATTACTGGCATACCCCATTGGACCAGGTGGTAGATGTGGTTCTGATGGTGAAGCTGGGCAATCCTCAGCACATGGTGGTGGAGATAGGGCAGGAGCATCCCGCTGGATAAGGTGACGCACTTGAAGCCGAAGCATCTGCGGGACAGGGTGTTGATGGAGCCATAGCATCTACTAGACAGGGTGATGCAGACGGAACAGAAGTATCAGTTGGCATTGTAGTGACATCTGGATTGTCCCCTATGGAAAGAGATGGTAAGTATTCGACAATCTGCTAGAGGTGTATTCTAAATAATTTAGGAAAGATCTCAAATTTACCTGGATCACGGCGACAAAAAGGCTTCAGATGACCAATGTTATAGGTCTTAGCCATAATTTTTCCATCCATGGTCTTCAGTGTTACCTGACCCTCGGCTCTTACTTCCACCATCACATATGGACTGGACCAGTCATCCTCCATTCGTCCATCCTTGCAACCATCCTTCAAGTTGCGAAATAATACTTCGTCTCCTTCCCTGAATCTGAAGGATTTCACTCCTTTAGATTTCCGAGAAGCAAATTGAGTCCTTCGTTTCTCCTGTGCCACATTGATGTGGAGGGTCCTTTTGTAGGAGATTTTCTCCAGTGTTTCCAGGAGTTCAGCTGAGGCAAACATGGGCTCCTGCATGGAATAAGGATTATCATTAGTTTCAAAACTCACTGGGCCATCTGCCGACATGTGATTGCTGAATGTTGGAGGAGCCTGGGACTCGAACTGGATCAAGATCACCTGCATTCCCATCCTCGCAATCGCCAGTATTGAGAACGAGGGGCGAATGAGGGTCTCGAAGGTACATGGCGTAGTAAGGTATTACTTCATTGCTTGCTTGTCTGGCGGTGTTCGTGCCTAATATTACTCCTGCTAGACGCCTGAAGATTATGCATAGCAAATAAGACTGATGAATTTGCATTTAAAATATCCCCTGCAATGCCAGTTCTTTTGAAAACATACTCCTACCAATTGTCGTGTTGATTTGAGCATTTCCCAGTTTGATGTGTCCTTTCATCCTGTCCATTGGTCTGGGGGTGATGGGCGGAACAGATGGCCTGCTTGACTCCAAAGCTCTTCAAAATTGAGCTGTTGAGCTGTGAATAAAAGAATCAGTTTAAAACATTAAATCGTGTTGTAGCCTCAACTCTTCCGAACTCTTCCTGGTCGAATCGTACAGGGTCCCTTAGAAAAATCGTTCAACATAACACCTGGAAGACACTCATATCGCATGAAATTACTACTCCAGTTCATAATTGTACATAAATGTCAACAAACCTGGGCAGCCGGGACACTTGCATTGGGGAGGTCGTATAAGGCTGGCTTCAAGGAGGAGGTGACATTTCCTAACGAAGGCGATGGCGGATTCTTCGTTGGTAGTCAGAGCTGCAAACTCATGAAGGTCTGGGTCGCATCTGACTGCCATTGTGGGGGTTTTGGAAGAGGAATGGAAGCTTTGATTCTCCGCGTAGTTTATATAGGTATCACTTCAGTGCGACGGGGGAAAAGTGTTACAGATCGGTGATGAAGATCGTCCTTGTGCGAAGTGAACGGAAAAGTACGGGAAAGCTGAAGCGGACCCTTGCGACAAGATCTCGTGGAGTGTTGACATCTACAGGAAGTAATGTAGAGCATTAGTCCAGACGGATGCCGTTAGATGGCGCTGCCACTAACCCGTACGAATATGGGATACGGCTCAACGTACGCCAGGATCATGCCAGTGTGCCAGAGCACACCAGATGAAGGCCTGGTATGCCATGCATTATAGTGACAGGTGTGCATGTGGAGGAGCCTAAGCAAAACTCAGTGTGCACAGTGGTGCGCATAACGTAAAGTACCCAGGTAGCGGAGCTCAGGGGTTCTGTGCCGCGTGACAAACGGTGTGGAGAACAGAAACAAGTGGTATCTCACTCACATAACACAATCATGCATAACTTAAGAAAACTAATATCCATTTGCCAAGCTGGTGAAGGTGCACAAAGGCCAGAAAGGTGGCTCGGACCTTCAAAGTTCGGGAAAAAGGCTTTCTAACCAATCGTCTCTGGTCCCGTAGCCAAATCCCTGCACCCATGACACATTACAATAAAGACAAAAGATCACTGATAGGCGGAAGGTTACATGTGTGGGGGATTCCCATATTATATCCTCAGGCCTAGGCCTAAGTACATACAAGGGATAGCATATGCATAGAAATAGACAAGGACCTGTAACACTGTCCTGACCAGGGTCACATACTAATACACTAACAAGAGAGACGCTGCGAAGCGAGGCACGTGCCGGAAAGCAATGGCAGGAAATGGCCATGGAGAGTGCAAAATGGAGGGGTCTTCCCCATGGCGCGAGCCGCTGCACCCTACCCCAGGGGCGCCCACCATCTTACTGAAGTCGCACGAGCAAGGAGTTCATAGCAGACACATGGAGAGGGGGAGGGCAAAAGAGGCAACTTTCCGCGAGCTATATGCCTGGGGGCATCCACACCGGGACTCAACCGATCACGCTATTCATTCCTACGTACGAGACTTCACCAAGATGGCGGAAGCACTTGTAAGTCTCGAGGCAGCGAAGTCCTCTCCAAAGACATCTATATACACTCTATGGGAATGGCGTATTCAGTGCGTTCGCCTTGTCTTCAACTACCCCGAGAGTGTTACCAACCCGATCAGGACACTAAGACCAATAACCGGCGACAACATTGGCTAAAGTGGCTGCCAAATATAGCCAAGACATTCAGGCCCGTCTGGGAAATTGTGAACCACGGCCAAGCTGCACAGAGGTCACTCCTCCAGGGCCAACAACACACGGCACAAAACCATCCACCAAGTGGAGAAAGGAACCACATTAGTTCGGGTTAAATAAGCTTTTCCTCAGATGGCAGGTAGGATCTTCGCCCTTGCATTTATCGGCACTTTTCCCTATCGATCACAACCCTGTCCACTTAATCCGTAAAGACCACCTCCATCACCTTCCGTGCGAGTCTATGAGTGAAAAATACGCACATGGATACGGGATGGTAACGACCTGACCGACGGCATCCTTGCGATCCAAGAATAAGCCATCCTGTTCTGTCCCACCCTGATGGGATCCCGCCGCTTTCACCCTCTGAAGTTACTCTCCTTCGCACGGAGGAAAACGGGACTCCAAGTATTGTGCGTGGGTTTTCCTGCATGAAAGCTTATATCAAGGTGTGAACATCCCTTGTTTATGAGAGGGGAGGGGGAGGTACGAAAGTCGTACAATCACTTCTTTTCCTATTCTCAAGAGCGGATCCGACTGTAGCGAAGGCCGGAGAGATAGTGAGAGCGCGAGACGGGCGGATGTCTTCCACGAACTGTTTCTTGGGTATTCCCGAGCTCAGTCAGCAGCCCTGAAACTCAGCGGCCCTCTCAAAGACATAAACCAGCACCACCTCCATCCCGTTCTCGAGAATGACCTGTGGAAGACTTTCACGAACTTAAAGTCGGTCGAGGCCATGGGAGTCAAACTACCGGCCAACTATTTGATTTCGTCCGTCTTGCAAAGTCCTCTCCTACAGTTGGTTTTTAAAAGGAGTAGACTTTTGCAATCTGTTGGCAATTGAAACTTTGGTGCGAGATATGCGGATGTGGGCCCAACCACTCCTGGAAGGGTTCCATCCGGCCGCCATCTTAGTCAAATTTAACGTTTCTGGCCTAGACTAAGCGGCCTAGACTGGCCTAGACTGACCTAGACTAACATAGGGCCGCCAAAATGAATCGCGACACCTGGGGCAATATTCCCCTTTCCACTCTTCCCCCTCCCTGCCGGGAGGGGGAAGAGGCGCTGGGATCGATTCCCGGTCGCTCTATATTTTACTTTCGTCATGCCATCTGAACTCTTCCCCCCCCCCCCCCCCCCCCCCGGGTATATTACGTTCTCGAAAATGGATCCTCCAGCCGCAATGGCCTGAGGGAGAGAGCGAGACAGACACCAGAAATCGGGCAAAAAGAGTGCGCATGCGCACAAGGCACTGCGGACAGACGCCCAAGCAAAATATATATTTATATAATATGTATATAAAAGTGGGTATGTGAATGTACGGTCAATCCTTCATAATACCATTGTTAGTCGTAGCTGTTGGGTGCAATATGGAATGAACTGCAGTATGTGAACCCTTTCGCTGCCGTTCACGCCACATGCCGTGTTCAGCGCGACGAACCTCCTCTGCCATGCCCTGCAGTCACGCAGGCGGAGTTCGAGCTCCGCTTCTTGTTCGTACTGAGTGGGCATCGAGGAGGAGGAGCTCGCATCCCAAGAGGCGGCGCCTTTCATCGGTGCAGACGTCCGTTGCAGGAGTGGGAGGTTGTTCGCTTGGGACAGTAGACGGCGGTGAATTGAGAAACACTTTTGTGTGTGATGAGCTAGTCTGAGATTTGTATCCTCACGTTTCTTCCAGAATAATAATTTAAAAATTCCTTATCCCGTCCTTATTATCTTTTCGTTCATATAACGATCCCTCTCACTTTTAATTAAGGACGATTTCAATGAGTCGATGCTTGTGACCATCTTCTATTTCCTCATAGTTATTCCATAGGCCGGAAGGTGTAGGGACTGGGAGTGAGAAGGGATACCCTCTTCTTTCGTTATCAGGGCTGCAAGGCAGCCGGCCAATAATTGAGTACGACCTCCGATGTTAATTTCGTAGAATAAATTGTATTATTGGACTATTTACAAACACCATCTGGATAACAATACAATGGCAATCCGACAGGGTTGTCTTCTCTTACACACTTGGCTCTGGGTGTTCACCAGCGTGTCCTAGACGCCTATGCCAGGCTACTGACCAGGACTTTTACGAGTCGATAGCTTTCTTCCGTTTAGAAAAGAAAAGCCAAGGAGGAGCGATCAACACCCCAAAGAAAAATATAAAAAAATTCTTGTTTGACCCAGACTTCTTCATATGAGCTGTGTGACCTTTCCAGTGGGGACCCCAGTGATTTCTCTCGTGTCGCCAGTTGAGAGGCTACGTATCTCGGGCTGATATTTTCGGGTCTCGATGGACGGCGACCAGGTCCAGGTACAGTCGCGAGTTGGTTCTTTGACTGCATTCCGCCGTCCCCGCGTACGGTCCTCGCGGAGCAGATTGCCCCACCGGGCGAGATTACCGCCACCTGATGGGCACAAAATGTAGCACTCTCGTCTCGGGAGGGTCATTCACCTCCTTCTCCTCCCGGTGGCGCTTGCTGCCTCCAGCCCACAGTGATGGCGCGCCGTCTACTGCAAAGGTTTCTTTATTCGATCCCGGATAATCAAGGTCATTGTCCTTGTTAGAGAAAATCCTCCGTGGTCTCTTCCTCCTCGTTGAATGGACCCAGTTTTCCGATGTGCAGCTATTCTTTTTTTTTCATCCATTGGTATTCCCTGGAAGATGCACGAATTCTGGAGGCGGAATTCTTGGAAACACCATGGGAATGGTATCCGTCGAGGAGATCCTTCGGTCCGGCATTTGAGAGGAAATACCGTCACTTGCGTTCATTGGCAGTTCGGTGCTTCTTCCGGACACCGACGTTCATGAGGATGAGGTTTCTGAGCAAGGAAAATGCTGAAAGGCTACGCAGGGACAGAGAAAGAAGTAGATCAAAGATAATGAAAATGTTGTCTTCTTGATGGAGACTGACCCGTTGGTCCAAATTTCCAGGCGGGAAAATATTATTCACAGGGTGACAGGGAACCGAAAATCCTCATATAGACATGTCAAGAGAGTGAGCATCGACCTCTTCACCCCAGCCATTCAACCACGTAAACACAGATTTTTGAAGAAAAGAAAATCAAATGGGGTGCAGGCAAAAGTAGTTTTGGTCCGATAACTGATTCTTCCGGAAAAGAAACCTTGGCAATCCCAGCTAGGTTTTTCCTTTTGAATTGGGATTCTGCTCTTCCAAGGAAGACTTGCAAGGCGAGGCAACATTCGTCATTGTCAATTAGGAATTCCTATAATATCCCCACCATCCTCTTAGCTCAACTGATAGCCGAGTACCGAGTAACCTCGCAATTTTTCCCAAGTGATTGTAAGAGTTCAGCCTTCACTACTTGGGTTCTTTAAATCTCCCACGTCTCGGGACGGAAGTACATCTTGCTCAGGGGTCTCCCTTTCCCCGTGACAGGGTTTGCACTCGGAAAAAAAGCCTGATTTGCCTAGTTTCGAATCGGGTCATGGGAACCAAGTTAGCTACCAACTGAGCCATTCTCCAGCCCCCACTCCCCTCTATGACGTCACGAGAATGCGATTCCCTAAACTTGTCTCCCGCGCACGTTAACGAGGCGCCTTTTTGCCGGTGTGTGGGGATAACCCCTAAACTTCTCGTTGAGCGACGCTTCTGAATCGATCGATCGGCATTTATTATTGGAGAGGGTTTCTGCTTCCCTCTTCACGTTCCATAATTTTCCCAAATGGGTATTTCATGCGTTTTCAAATGACACATGAGATTCGACGTACCATAGTTCCTGGCGGTCTCGACTCCCTCGAAAATGGCAACCCCACAGGTACGGCAGGCGGCTTTGGTGATAGTTGTCATCCCACCGGTATTTTCAACGCGTGCGGTTCTTTGCCTCGTTCTGAGATTCGCTCGTACCCGAAGTTTGCCGACTACTAGATGATGATCGGTGCACAGTT